AAGTAATATATATATATATATATATATATATATATATATATATTATGATATATGATATAATAATACTTGTATATCATGATTCATACAAGTATAAAATACACATAATTTTTTTTAATAAGTTATACTTATTAAAAAAATCATAGGATGATATTAAATTATTATAATATAACATGATGCATTTTCATCTAAATAAAACTATAAAAGGTTTTATACTTATTAAGTAATTCATTATCATTTCTCATCAGATCTCATCACAAAATGCTCATAAATTATCATTTATATCTGCATTGGCATGATATATCAAATAATTCATTAAACCAAAGAAATTGTATAAAATTTTCTAGTACAAAATTTTCTTATATCATACCGTAACACAATTATTACTTTTATAATGCCAAAAAGAAGTCCTAAATGGAGCTGAAAAGCATACCGTAACACAATTATTACTTTTAACTTACCTTAAAATAAGAGGAGAGATGGGATTTTTGCTATTGATTGTGTGCACTCATGACATTAATGTCCTGGAAATATTGAGGACATGTTCTACGAACTCAATTTCCTTTTGGTATCTCTTACATTCATCCAAATCCTGGTTAATATCATAGAAGGGATGCTAATGAGTTCAATGGGAATAGATGAAGACTGCTTCCAAAGATGGGATGTTTATTTCATACCTTCTGGATTTCAATGGGAATAGATGAAGACTGCTTCCAAAGATTCAACCGAGCAAGGCTACCCACCTTGCCGTTCTCTTCAACCTTGCTACTACCTTCCAGCGAAGATATTCTATCTTCAAGGCTCTTCCTAGTAGAAGCAAACCAGTCAAGTTCATCAAACGACCTCTCTTGCCCTAATACCTGTCAGAATAAGACATCAGCAATATATTTCAACTTCACATCAAGTTTGCCTTTAGCAACTGAAAGTTCTCTTCATTTTACCATTAAAGTACCATTAAACCAACATATGGTAAGACTAAACCAACATTTACTTAATCGAGTAAGCATGATAATGCAATCTATTTTACACCCATCACATCAGCATAAAATATTAGGCCTATCTAGAAATGGAGCAATGTGACTTAGATGGTGGATGATGAAACCTGCAAATCCAGCAGATCCTGTTGCAGTAATACAAAAACCGAAGTACCACAACAAAATAAGGGAAAAAAAAATCCTTTTGCAGTAATGCGCTGACAAATCTGTGTATAAATACTACAAAAATTTCTTAATGATAAATAAATAAATAAACAAGATGTCTTTATGCAATGTCCTAAACAGATATTTTTACAGGTCCTTACTGGTGGCAGATGGCAGAGATGAATAGACCATGATTACCATTGCAGATGGCAGATAATATGCAAGTGTGCCTCAAAATTAACATGAAAATACTTTAGTCCATGTTTTACAAGGTCAAGGTAAGAATTCAATAGAATTGAATAACTGCAGATCAGTGGAAAGAGTTGCACAAAGATATACTTAACTTAACAAACAAACCTTAAGAGAAAAAGCAATTCCCATTAAGAAACTATCATGCATGTAAAGAGTACTTCCAGAATCATGCTCCTTCACCAACAGCTTATCCTTGTGACGAACTCTCGAATTTACCAAGTTTATTATAACAGAAGGAAACATCTGAAACAAATCTTTCATATTGTGATCCTTGCTAAACTCATGTTCCTACACATAACAATGTTCACAAAATCAGATGGACAATATATTTATGCATAAAAGTAGGTCTACAAAGGCATTTCTAAAGTATGAGGAAAAAGAAACATGCTTGTCTGTGTTTCAAGACCTTGTTACTAATATAGTGTGTGCTTATGAATTCTACTGCTTACCATTCTGTAGATTATTACTAATTCTCAAACTCATTGCCAACAATGGCATGATTATTATGACCATTAGAAAAAGAAAAAAAAAAAGAGAAAGGCCCAGTGGAAAAAATAAACAACAGTTACTATGACCATTAGAGAGTCATTTATGTAGTCTTACACCTGCAGTCTCACCAAGATGCATAAATAAACAACACTTACTTCTATAAATGTGGTTATAAAAGAAGAAAAAGATTTTATTCTTGCATCAGGCTCATAATTTTCCACTATTGCCTTATCAACCATCCTTCCAGCAGTAAGAATTTCACCGTCAAAACCAAGTTTCAGATAACTCTCCGCAAAGCTCATGTCAATGGTGAATCTACAGTTAAATAAAATTGATTATGGGGGGTATATATCAAACATATGACAGATAAACTGAAAATTTTAAATTTATACCGAGAAATGTTGCAGCAATGGCGGGAACTTCCAGTTTGAAGAATTCTCATGAGTCCTAAAGCATTACCAATCTTCCTCATGATAAATTGGAGTTGTTCAAGGAAGCTCACTCCAATATCTCCCAATGCAAATTTTCCAAAAGCAAATCTTGGTTCTGCTTGTTGCCAAAAAGGGTATTCATTTGCTAATTCCTTGTCATTCTGCAAAAAAAATTTGAATCAACAATTCAAATATATTTTTAAAATGAACAAAATAAATAGAAAATGACATGCATAATACAAGCTTAGAATATGTAAACTAATATCCAAAAGCATTTTTGATAAACACCAATGCAGCTTGAAGATCCTATAAAAATGTAAGACAGAAAACAAATTAATAATTTCACAATGAACAAATCAAACAATTGTAAAAGAAATGTTGCCCTCAAAAGTGTAGACAAAAAAGAAAGATTTTTCACAACTAATACATGGACCATATGCCGGAACATATCTTGTAACAAATTATATACCTGGTATCCAGGGATTAAAAACTAGCCCATACGTTACGTTAGATATATGAAATTATACATGATTTTCATCTCCTAGGAGTTCAGAAAGTCCATAACCAGCTTTGATGAACTAATTTGTGAATGTGTTAAAAATGGATCTCCATGCAATGTGAATAATCCTTTAAGCTTTTGCGGCTTGTCATTCAACATCATGATGGAGCTTTTCATCTAAAAGGTAGAGCAATTGGAAACATTAACCAAGAAGGGTCAATGCCATATTACCTTCCATATTGACACCAAATCTCAGAAGATAAAAGTACACCATTTTTTTTTGTGTGTATACATCAGCCTCAGAAGCAAGTTGGTCATGCCAGAATATTCAGCTGAATGACATCAAAGTACAACAGCAGAAAAGATCCTACTAGTCTTGGGCTGTTAGCCATTATCTCTATTATCAAATGCCAAATCAAAATTGGTCTGATGATAACCCATTCCACTGGTAAAAAGTTGACATCAGGACTGAAAGGTGCCAATTAGAAGGCCATAATTAACAGATGAGTTAATCAAGATGCTCCATTTTTTTTAATCTCTCCATTTTTCAGTTCATTTTGGCATCTGCTTTCCATATTTCAAAAGCTCTCTTGGTATATCAATATACACAACTGGAACTGAAGAAGCTATCTATGTACAGGTAGGTAAGCTGAAGTCATGGTCCATCACTCCATCAATTGCATGTACAAAGACCAGGAAAAATTGGGAACCCTTTATCTGAAAAATACAATATGGTTTTATCGGGAAGTGGTGGTGAAAATAAATATGAAAATAATTTTCTATGGTAAGTTATGGCATGGTAGATATTTTCCTCCAAAGATAGACATATCAAACAACTCTGACAAAGAGCAGCCTTTCTCCAGCTTATAAAGGCACCCTTAACAACAGTGATTTTGAGATTAGTGTTACCTTAAGTTGGATACTGGATCTCAAATACATTCTGGGTTGATCCTTGGCTGGAGGAAAGGCCACCAGCTGACTATTATAATGGCTCATTAGAAGATAAGTACTGGTAAGATGGGTTTTAAGAATTGCAATTCTAAGATTGAAGCAAATCCTCTTTATCCAATGCCTATCCACCAAGCTGCCTAGTTCCAGTCCAATCAAGATAGTGATTTTATCTGTTGGACATGAGGTATATATCTTGTATGTCTTCACCTGAGGAACACTACGGAAGGCTAAAACAGGGAATTTTTTCAGAGAATCACAATAGAAGCTGATGGCATTGTAGGTAGATCAATTATAAACCTTCCAGAATGAAGAATAGTGTGACACAAAATGAAATGCAGTTTGATACCTTCAGTGATTTGTTAAAGCCTTCAGCTTATCTGTATTTCTTTCCCTTTTCTGTTTCTCTTGCATACATGTTTTATATCCTTAATGAAACTATTTATGGGCTTAACATTCGTGTCAAAAGAAAAAAAAAGTTGGATAGATGGATCTGACTGGATGGAAAACTAGAAAAAAGAAAAAATCAAAGAAATAGATTTCTCAATGACATAATATGGAAAAATAATATAAAAAAATAGGTCATAAATATTATCAATGAATCTTAAAAATACAGGAACTGCCAAACAAATAAATTAAATGATCAACTGGTAAGAACACGAAGTGCAGCCTACACAAGAGATGACAAAATTTTCCTAAATTAAGTTCTATAATTCCATCTACTGAAAGTATACCTTCAAGAAGATGTGATCTTTTGATGAACCTGTCCAAAATTTATCTTGAAGCAACTGAGATAAAATTGTAAACATCTGCTTTAGTAATTGAGATACTGAATCTGAAGCCTTGCATATTCTGCTTAGACTATGAATAGCAATTGAACGAGCAATGTCTTCCACACCGATCAACCTTAAGTTCTTCTTGTTCTGACCTTTTGGGACGTTCTCGACAAATACCTGTATGAATTAAGATTGAGAGTAATTAGAACTATCTAGACCGCTCCTCAACAATGCAGAGAAATCATGTTATAATGACAAAAAAAGAACTTTCTAGCTGCAATCTTTTGCCTTAATGATGTTACAGAAATAAATGCAACAAAACATGTGACTCCACAAAAAGACATTATAACTCTTCTCTACCAAAACATGTCTTTGTTTGTTTATTTATTTGCTATTCGAATCAAAACATCATATTTTTTCCTCTTTACAGTATAGATGACTTTGCAGACAAGGCAATGGATTTAGAGGCAGCAACCCTCATTGGTAGTTATAATTTATCAAAAATAAACATCTTGTAAACTGGATTTTCCAGGTTAATTACATCCCAGCCACTGTTCAAGGTTTAGTATGCCCAATACGAGCAATAACAGGAATCCCTGTTAGTTTTCTTGTACTCATGGCATTGGCAACAATTCAAAAAAGAAAAAACTCAAGTATGATTATGCCCACACATATAATGACAGAAATGCATACCACTTTGTCAAAACAGGATGCACAAACAAATACAAGGACACAAACAGATTAAAATCCAATGTATTGATATCTTGTAGTATCACTCCTGCAACCCCTTTCTTCCTTCTTACAGGGCAATCATTACACACTCAGATCCATAACTGAACAAAATTTCCTCCAAGTTCAGGTACAAGTCCTTTTTCCTACCAATAGTCCTAGCTGCTTATCAAAGCTCTCCTTTCTTGTCCTACATGAACTAGTACATTTAGAAGCTCCATAGTGAGAATGCATTGGATAATTACTACCAAATATCAACCATAAATCCAAAACCATCAATATTAATCATCTTAATATGGATCGTAAGGCAAAGGACTAGCTGCAAACACTTCTTCATCAAGACAACCATTATGACATAGCTTAGTTGTAGTACATAAAATAGGTATCATTTCGGAACCATTCAAATATCAGACAACAATAACTACTGAATACCTGGTTATAAATGTTATAGGAATAATTCTCCACAAATGCATGGAGATCTTGGACTATTTCATTAATGTCAATGTTGTGAGCCACAGAATTCCCAACAAAATGGATATCATCTAACAATAAACCATATTTCAGCCCAGCTAGCAGCTGCATCTCTAAGTATATCTGAGGATCAGAATAGGTGAGATAAGCAAGCACTACCAGATTCACACAAAAGTTATCTAATTCGCCCTTAAAATGGAAGTCAAGCACTACCATACCTTCCTGTCATATGTCGACATAGTCGAATGATTATAGAAGGCAGAACTCAAATAACTCCCAACGAGTGAACTTATATCAATCAACTTGGAAGGGAGTAGCAAAGGTTTGATCTGTAAGTACCAAGAAAGATTCCGCACACCAGTCTAATAAAAAAACACATACCACAAAAATTAGTAGCCAGAAAATAAAGATAAAGATAGCCACAAAAATTATTATATACATTTTATAAACCTCAATTACCTTCGTTGGGTTTACAACCACAGATCCTTTTAAATAAGTTGAATGAACATGAAGGCGAAGATCAGTCTCAATATCTCTACAAAGAGGGCCAACAATTTCCTGTTTCAAAAAAGAGTATAAAGTCATAGATAATAACCACTACAAGATGAAAGTAACATAAAGATTTGGAAAAATTCTGTCATGGAGACTGAGCAGATCAAATGTTATCATTAGCGCACATTTTTCACACCATATTCAATTTGTTTTTCATATGCTTCAAGAGTAAGTTTGCCGACATGCCCAAGCTTAAGAAGCCTTAGTCCATCTGAAAATGCATCAACAAGATACCTGACAAAGCAGAATATCACTATATATAGAGAAAGGAAGCATTTATTAATTTATATTCAATATCATCCATTATATTCATCTTTACTAATTTTACTATATTCAGCATAATGACAAACATTCTCTTAAGAGCACTTACTGTATCCATGGAAATCTTTTGACATCCATATAAACCATGGAGAAGAGATTTCCCATCATCTCCCTTCTCCAATACAAGAAGCTACAATCCATAACATCAGCAATAATATTATGAAAGTTTGCTACTGTCCCAAGTTTCAATGTCAACTTTCCAACCCTTAAAAGATCAAGATCCAAAGAGCCCTGCCTCAAGATATGAAAGAGGATATTGAGATTTTGTCAAAGCAAATAATAACAGGATCATGCAAGCCTCTAAACTATGTAAATGAGATCATAAAATGAGAATAATGTAAATCTTATTAAAAGTGATATCCATACTTGTCAAAAGTAGCAAACTAATTGATACTCATATTAAAAGATGATCAAATCCTACATACCCGAAACAGTAGCCACAAAGGGGCAGTATCTTATTTTAAGGCTAATATATTGCAGGTAACTGGGAGCTGTATCAGAGTACCAATAGAAAGTGCATGTTTTACTGCATGATTCCAACTATTTACATCCATTGCAATGATATTTTTACACCATCGAGCTCTACAAAAGGCAACATCAATTGTAATATATTTCTTAGATCTTCTTGCACCAGTAATCTTATTTGATTTGCCTCATACCACTAGAGCATCCATAGGTCACATTCAGAAACATCAAGACCACCTACACATTTTCCTCATTTTGTTCAAATTGGAAAATTTGGACTTAAGAAAGCAGTAGGCGATAGCAAAACTATGACACAAAATGGCACACTCTGGAAAGTTCAAGAAGAAACAACAAGAACCGTCGGGCTTTGATTGCTACTAGCCTTTGGTAGATCTGGCGTGCAAAGAATGATATGATTTTTAATCAGGTTGTCTCCTCTCCTAGTAAGATTTTACACAGAACAATTGCAGCAATCCTTGCTAATGATGAGGCCAAATTACCTTATTGTGTTCTGCTTGAAAAATTTTCAGGTGGGGTGGGCTAAGTTGAACTGTGTTGGCTCTATTAAAGAGTCATGTGAGAGAGGTATTGGTTTTATTGTTTGAAGCAACACTAGTGACCCTTTATTGGCTGGGTGCAGGTTCATGAAAGCACATGGGGTCCTGTTTTGTGAAGCTGCAGCAATGCGGGAGGGTTTGTGTTGTAGTTTCTGATGGTGTAAGGAAGATCCAAATTAAATCTGAATCGACGGCTGTTGTTTCTATGATAGACAAGAAATGTGTTGCTCCTTGGTCGCTACTCAATATTATGCATGCCATCTGATTTTTGTTGGGATCCTTTGAGGTATATTCTGTCAATCATGTATATAGAGAAGCTAACTGTGTGGCCTATTGGCTGGCCAACCATGCTATAACTACTAAAGCTTCTTTTTAGAGAGAGGAATGACCCTCTCATCTTTTATCTTTGATTCGCTCTAATGCTAAGGGCGACTTTTGTACTCGTCTGATTTAAGCAATATAACTTTCCTTTTGAGTAAAAAAAAATACTACCTAGGAACAAAGAGGATATAGAAAAAGAAGCATATGCAATAACCAAATACAAGTTTAAACACATGCAAGCAATTCATATCATGAAGGATTAATGTCCTTCAAAATCAAGCAATGTCATCTGGGGCTAACCAGCCATATGAGTCGTGGGTCATACCGGTCGGTACTAATGTACCACATGTTGGTACGTAGGTAACCTAAAATAGGGTTTTTCTCCTATATTTTTGGTATACAAATTATATTTAGATAATAATCAAGTGTAACTAAGCCATCAATGGATAGAAATTCTGTAATTTTGATGGAAAATTGAATGAGAGTGGAAGTGAATGACCATTGCCAAAACAGGTCCAATGGTCAATTTGACCATTGGGACTTGGTTTGACTACAGAGGAGATTGGTACATCAAAACCTAATCATTATCGACCCATATATTATAACGACCAAGTTCCAACCATATCGAGCAATACAAGAGGCACACCACCTGAAACAGGCTGGTCTGCACACCAATCAGCTGGCGGACTGATATGGTCTGTATTACCTGTTTTGTACCGTATTGGATGGTACATCAATGATCCAACCACGTTCAAAATTGTATAAGAAAAATAACACAACTATATGATAGAATCTTGAGTGTTAATTATCTAATTAGCTACTTACAATGCTTTGTAGAACATTCAAAGTGTTCAAGAGTATAAGATGTCTTTGACGACTACCTCCTCCTTGAAGCATTTGCAAGGACATAGAAACCTGAAAGTATACATGAAATTTTCCAGCATAAGAACATGTAAGACTTGCTAAGATCTATAGAAGCCTGCTAGATAATAGTCAACTGACGGAAAGGGCCTCAACAAAACTATATAGTAAAAGAAATTGAAAGCTGATATTTTTCAACCAGCTAAGACAAACAAAATACTAACACAGAATATAGACAGCAAGAAGCATGCTTAAGCAAACTGATAAGAGTTTCCCCTCAGAAAATTTATCTTCTGATGTTTGATTGATAAGAAAACTAAAAAAAAGGTAGGGAAAACTGTTTTCCAGATTTTCTAGAGAAGTCAATGTTTTCACTTGCAAGATTTTGTTCTCCCTGAACAACAAAAAGAAATATTTAAAATGTCTTTCGATGACTTCTCCCAAAATATCCCAGAGAAAGTTTTACATCCTTCTTGCTTTCCAAACATTAAAAAAAATATATTTTCATGTCCTTTTTCTACAATCTAATGCACAACTTAGTTTTTTCTCCATGAAAAATGTTTTACAGTGGAAAATCTCTTTTCACATGTTTCCTTGCAACTAAGCATACAAAATTATTCAGGAAAGAGAGAAATTTAAGAAACTGATCATGACCAGCTAAATAGTTTACTTTAGCATCAACTGAGATACTAAAATATATTGTTGTTTGACTCCACTGATGCAGTTCCAAAAAGACGTTGCATTACACAGGTGATTGTGGTGTAGCTTAGAGCATATGCACTTGCATGTGTGGTACACATTAAAACAATAAAAAATACAATAAGGTATTGAAAAATAGAGAAGTGCATGCTACTGTCAAATCAAGAACTTACAGAATGATATTCATATTTCCTAAAAATTTATTGAAGTGATACAAATTACAAGATACATATAAATGTATGTAAGATTAAAATGTTATGATTGACCATGTACTATGAATTATGAAGAACATGATAATTGAAACCAAGAATTTAAGTTTCAATGTCTCAGTTTGAAATTGGTTTCAGTAACCTATCGGATGGGCAGGTTATACTGGTATATACTACCGGTATACCTAACCTGCACCGCCAAATAATAAATTAATAGTAAAAAATAAAAAAATATTATACCAGTGCCTAACTATATGTTTCAGTCAGTATGAGTAATTGATTGGACCAATCCATACGCACTAGCAGAGTCAAGATTTGAGATCCTCGTAGAAACAATAGCAATAGTACATGAGGGTGTATATATACATATAAACACAGACGTGTGTGTGTATATATGTGTGTGTGTGTGTGCATGTGTGCTGCTGCATAAGAGACCGCGTAAAGGCCATGCATGCCATATTATTCTTCATATTGATCACATAAATATATGTGACATAATAGTCTGCATTTTAGAACAATAATCCTACAACTTCTCATATACAAAATCATGACTTATAGTTGTGAGAAAATGCAATGGATAAATTTTATAGTTGATGATAATAAAAGCACTAGGGATAGCAGTCAGAAACAAGGTAGACAAAGAGCTCTACCAAAAAAATCTTTTTCATAATTGCTTCCCCCAAAAGGCCAAAAAAATCAATTAAGATAAAGACAATCTGCATACAGGGATCATCCCATTGAATACTTCACCTATCATGATGCAATTGCTTATATGCACAAGAGAGGTTATGCAGAACATTATAATAGATAATTTTATGTTTGGTTTTGTATCCTGATGAAATACCAATTTCAATAGCGGCAAGAATTAGTCAATTATATGCAGTTGATTTAACTTTAATGATGCTTGACAGGGGACTGATACGTGGACCGCCCTCTATCAAGCAGTACCATAACCCCTGTATCGAGCGATACAGGGTCTATACCGAACGATAATGGTCGAAATCCAACTACTACCGACCTGTACCGGTCGGATTTCGATCATTACCGATCAAGGGTTGAGATCGCCCTATTTCAAACAATCAAATTGACCGTTTGAACCATAGGAAAGGGTTTTTAAACCCTTTCCTCTCCCCTCTTTCAACTCATATCACTCTCTCAATCTCTTCAATTCTCTCAAACTCATTCTCACCCACATCTCTCTCTCTCATTCTCACATTTTCACTCTTCTAAATTATGATTTGTGAATTGGATCAAATTTGGGAGGATTAAGAGGAAGATTCCCCTCAGTCAGAACGTGGTGGAAGGAGCCGGACAACATTGAGTCAGACTGCTCAAGGAACTAGAGATACTTAATCATCATAGTCGTCCGCCTAGCGTGCAAAGGCAAAGGCAGTAGCATCAATCATACCATTGGAAAGAATCGAGTCAAGCGATAAAACACCTTCTCAATCGCACTCAACAACCCACTCAATCTAGAGACATGAAGTGACATGGACGACAGCGCATCAATTGATGATGGCGATGACATTGGGGAGTCGATGGTCCCATTTACACAATTTGAGGGTGGTGCATGGATTGAGGAGCAGTATTTTACATATGTCACCCAAGATTCGGATCATGAAAATCAATGAGGTACTTGTCAAGTTTATACATGGAAGGGGAAGGAGAAGGTAGTGGATGATTTTGAGTAGATGCAACAGAGCCTACACGAAGTAGATACAAAACGAAGCTCATCGTATTCACAAATGTTGTATTATGGAGAATCTTATGGTCAACAACAATATGATAATAGTTGGTCATACTTCTCCAAGCCGCCTCAGACATATGTGGTTTATGACGATCAGACTACAATCATCACCACATTGATACACCAATGGCATGACGTTTATCAGTACACTATATCGTGGGATCAATTTTATGATTGAGTTTGATAAACATATTATATTGATATACAGATACATAGGATCAAAAACCTCAATCCACCGCCCATGAAGTTCCGTCGTTCTCTTTGGTGGTAGAATCACGTATATCCATCGATTGATTACTTAATTCATTTAAGTCTTAAAGTTCAAGTTATTTAAAAAATAATATAACAATTCAAATAATTTCTTTGTAGATAATTCAATATTAATGGAAGGACGATCTGAAATGTACCACAAAGCTACTCCTTAAAGCTCGAAAAATATATATATCATTATCCTTTCCTAATTTATATTATTTTTACTAAAATTATACTAAAATTATATTTTTTTCAACTTAAAAACCTTAATCAAACTTTTTTCTTTTTTCTATTTTTCAGGTATTTTTGGAGCTATTTTTGATGATTTTGGGTGTACCATCGATAAGCCTCGGTACGTACCATACCGACACCTAGTTGGTACATCGGTATAAACCGAAATTACAAACCTTGAATTCAACTTTCCAACTTAATAAGAGTATCTATTCCTATTCATTCAGTCATTGCATGATGCAACACAAATTAAGTAATTTGACCAAGTTTATATGCCAATAGAAACCAAAACGAGTCCAACAAGTAAGACATATGGAAAAGAGGATATTCATCAAATATGTAATATATATCACATGTATATTTATTTGGTTCAGATCATACTAACCAATGAAAGAGAATCTATAAGCTTTGTGTCTGTCTCTTTGCTACCTAAAGAGAAATAGCAACGAGGGACTCAGTCATAATAGGGCAATGCACAAGAACTGAAGCTGCAGATTGAATATAAACTTCAAAGAAGCTAAGGTACTCGAGCACTATAAGATATTTCATCCAAGTAGACCCATGACAACTGCATGATAAGGAATACAAGGTTTGAATACACTCTCTGAAATTTTGATCATCAGATAATAATGATACATAGGATCATCGGAATTTTGCAATCTACAACTCTGGTTGCCAATGTAAGCTACATTGCAATTATGCAACCTACAATTCTAGTTGCCAAGAGTCCAAGTAAGTGTGCAATACCACCACTCACTGCTAGTCTGCTGCTGCCACTTTGAACAACCACTATAATACATACAGATGACACATTTGCTCAGAAAATTAGCACAATAAGTATGCATATATTCCACATGCTTGGTCAATCTGGCTCTAACACAAACTTGTAGGTTGAATGAAGGTTAAGACAGCTTTTAGGAACTAGACTCATTAGCAAGTTGACTTCACTCATAGTACTTGTCATTATAATGTGTTTGATATTTTGATATGCTGATATATGAGCAGAATCACAACAGACACTTAAGAACATGAGACATACTAATCAAGCTAGAATCCAATTGTTTACCAAATATCAAATGACAAATGAATTAAAACTTGGACAGTATACCTGCAACATTGTTAAAATAAAACTAAAGGCAAAGTTTGCAATTTCATGTACCAATAAGGGTTTGAACTGGTGTACTGAGTGTTGATGCCCTAGTACGTACTGAAATTTGGAAACAATCCTGAAAAAAACTGAAAACAAAAAAACTGCCAAGTATAGGACATGTACTGCTATGTACCAGGCATTTTGCCTGTTTTAGTTGATGTACCAGTAGGTTATAGAACTAGTAAATACTGTTCATGCCGAGCAGTTTTGCAAATCTTGATTAAAGGTCATCCATAAAGAGGCTTGATATCAGAAAATACAAAAGACTAAGATGAATTAGGAGAAGATGAAATAAAACATGGAAGGTGAAGAAAAGAAAACAAAATAAGTAGGAAGCAATTAAGCTACTGTGTGATTTTCCAATAAAGTTAGGCAATTTGTTAGTGGCTCAATATGCACAACACTAGTACTTCATGACAAATGATTCTGAAATCAAATTATAATTAGAACTTAGATGTAGTTATCAACTTAATAGAGATGTTTGTATCATTCTCCGGTATCCAAATAAAAAAAAATTGTGTTATGTTAAATGTGAAATACAGATTATATATATATATATATATATATATATATATATATATATATATATATATATATATATATATA